TTCCAACTGATCTCCCGCTCTGCAGAGGGCACTGAGTCTTCACCATTAGGCAGGCAGAGCAGGAATAACGGATTGCAAAGTGATTAGAAAAAGCTCCAAAGTGGAGACACATTTGAAAAAAAAAATTGCAAACTGAGGCCTTTGCTTCTCTGGTTTTGGTTTTTGCTGCAGCGAAACAGGGCCAGCTGCCAGAGCCTCGTGCTTCTACCGAGGGCAGTGGGGTGGGGGGAGCCTGGAGCCCCGCTTTCTCTGAGGGGCTCGGCCCTGCACCCGGCCAGCTGTGCCCACCGCCCAAGTGGCAAAGTTTCCATGGCCCAGACTGCGGCTTCAGGACCCCTGGGGGCAGGGGGTGGTGGTGATAAAGATGCAGATTCCCAGGTGCACCTCCATACACATCCTCTGGAGGCAGGGCTAACCAGTCCTTCAGGCAGTCCCTGGAAAACTGCATGAACTTGGGCCTTCATTTGACAGGGGGAAGAAAGTGTGGAAAGAGAGTAATTAGCTTTTACAATTGGCATTCCCCTCCAAACTGAGTCTGTGCTTAAAACTGAGACCGTACAGACATTATGAATATGTGACTCAGTCGGACTCCTCTCAATTTTCAAATACAGCATGCAATTCACTGGAAAATCGACAGCTCTTCCAGAAGGTGGCACAGCTTAGTGGGACAGAACAAGGGCAAGCAGGCTCAAATCAACTTGAGAATGTTCCTTACCCTTCCTCAGCCTCAACTCTCCTGTCTAGAAAAGGCTACACTAAGAGAATTTCCCCCGTAGCTTGTTGGGAGGACCAAATTAAATGGAGTCAGATGTGTGAAGCAGTCAGCACAGGGCTTGCTTGGCCCGTGACATGTGCTGAACCAATTTAAGACACGCCTATTACTGTCGTTAAAGGTAACTAACAATAAGTTTAAACTCTGAAATAAAAACAAAAAACTGAGAGGCTATGATAAATGTCTGTGCCCCTTTAACCACGGTGACAAAGCTATTTAAATCAGGGCATTCTTTTTAGGAAGAATTAAATGATTATTCAGCATAGTATGGACGATACAAAAAAATTCAGAAATAACCAAGCAAGGAGAAGTTGGCAAATCATCAGTCTTGACCTGCTGACGGTCATGGCTTCGGGAAGAAGCAAGGCAGGCTGCTTTCCACCAGAATTCCGAGTAAGCAGTACATCTCATGTGACCACTGGCACTCTCATGCAAGCTTAGGAAAAGGGACTTGTTCTCCTGTCGCCAGCTTTCTGAGCTCCCTGTGGTCTGCAGCATTTTCCGTGGCCAGGCTCTGCGGTGCATGGGAGCTCTGTATGCTTGCACTTGGGAGGGTGAGGACCAGCAGGGGGGCCGCGCGGGGAGCTAAGGGGTCCAGGAATCCTGAGACTGGCTTCCTTCCAGCCCCCAACACCCCGGTGGGCCGCCGCCGATGCTCCCGCTCCACCCTCACCCCGCCCCCCCCAACCAGGCCATAGTTTCCAAATCACTGGTGTCTACAAGAACCGATTCTTGGGATTATGGTACGGAGGTCTGGGGCGGGTCGTAGACTCATCTTTGGGCACATTCGAGGGTCTGGGGCTTTGAGGAACCCTGGGCTAGCCAGTCTCTGCTCACCCACCCACCACTCCTCGCTGTTATCTGCATCCCTCGCCAACAGCAGTTTCATTTGCTCTGTGTCTTCTTTTGTAAACTTCTCCGAGGTGACAGCCAGCTCTTCAATTTTCGGCATTCTGCTCGGTGTTAGGCAGATGCCATGAATTCAAGAAAGACTTTTTGAATGGTCTGATACAATGTTTCGAAAAGTCCACATCTTTCAAGTGATCTTGAGAAACCTCCAATCTGCCTGCTACATCAGAAGAGGTGGCGGGAATCATGACTTTTGGGCACACAGGCCCCAGTGAAATGTCTTCTATCTTTGGCAGGTTCCCCGGCCTGGCACAAGCCGATACGACGCTGTGAACTTAGAGCCCTTGTCCGCCCTGGAGCCCAAGCACAGCAAGTCAGACTTGTCGTTGAAATCGGTGACCCCCACCCACAGGCTGGCAGGCTGTCCATTCCAAGTCAAGACTGGCTGACTGAGGGCGGCTGAGCCTGACTAACGGACAAAGACGGCAACACTGGGAGCGTATGGAGCCCCTGGGTGATGACTGCCCCACATGCACTTTTCTAATGAAACTTCCAAAATTGCTTCTACTATGAGACCCTACGGTGACCTGGTGCGGTGGGTTGAGGGGTGGCCCCAGAGAGAGATGTCCATGTTCTAACCCAAGAGCCCATGAATGTGACATTCAGAAAAGCAGGCTTTGCAGATGTAATTAAGTTACATCTCTCTGAGATGAAGACATTGTCCTAGATGATCCTAGATCCAATGACAAGTGTCCATTTAAGCTATGAAAGAGAGAAGGGGAGGAGGCCCTTTGGAGACGGAGGCAGAGTTCAGGAGGGACACAGCCACCAGCCGAGGAACATGAGGAGCCATGAGAAGCCGGGGAAGCATGAGAGCCTCTACCCCAGGGCCTTCGCACGGGGCCTGGCTGTGTGGACATCTTGATTTGGGACTCCTGGCCCCCAGAACTGTGAGAGGATACATGTCTGGTGTTTTAAGCCATCCGGTTTACGCTCATTTGTTACTCCAGCCGTAGGAAGCATTGATATAATGAATTCTTTCTGTATGTCATTTGTATTCCTCACATCTCCACAGAAAGTAACGGACATCAACGAGACAAGCAAACGTGCTGGACTCGGAAGCTTTACTTTTGGTGAAAGGATAGTACATATACATTCAGGGGCTTTAGAGCTGCATGGAATGGGAGGATGACACCATTTCCAGATGCCCTGACACTGGGTGGCTGGTCCATCTGCAAGTTCTGCCCCTTTGAGCCTCCCCAAGCTGCAGGAGTGAGCTGGGAGTCCCAGATGTTCTGCATCTTGGGTTTTTCCTGTTGTTGTTAAAACTCTTCGCCATTAGCAACATAAGATCTCACCCACAGCATTTCACTGTGTTGAGGTGCCGCAAGTTATTCAGCTGGGCGCTGCATTTAGGTTTCTGTTCACCAAGCTGGGGGACGCCCTTGCTGACCCTCACGCACCTGCGTGGTTGCGTCCATGGGAAAGTCCCCAGGGCGCAGGGCTGTGTGCCCCACGGCTGTGGCTCCCACCCTCCAAAGAAGCCCCACCGACTCACCTCTTCTGTTCTCATCTCCTGCCCATGAAGCAGGAGGGGCTGTATTTACAAATGCACATCCTATCAAATGGAGCCCAGTCCTTCCCTGACAAAGCCAGTGCTCTTCCAAAGGAAACAAAGCCTAGTCAGGGCTCCGGACTCCCTTCGACAGCTTGGTACCCGACTGCCTCACTTCTAACCTTACCTGACCTAATGTAAACAGAGCCTCCACAGTCCATTAGACTCCTTCGACCCTGGAGACACGCCAAGGACTGTGACAGGCTATAGGCCTTGACCATGGCCAGAGGCAAGGGGCGGGTTATGGTGGCACCCCGGCCCAGCCTCCTTGGGTCATCTCCCTTCTTTCACTCCTAGCCCCTATAGTCCATTCTCCATTATGCAGCCAGAGTGAAGACAGAAGGTCATATATTAAAACAAGTCAAATTGAGTCACTTCCTTGCTCCAGGACTCTCCCAGCTCATGCAGGCTAAAATCCCACACCCTTGCTTACAAAGCTCCCACAACTGGGCCTCTGGCTGTCCTCTAACCTCAACTGAAGCCCTGTGGTGGACAGCAGAGCACACAGGTGCTGTACTCCAGCCTGGGGCCCTGGAAATTCTTCAAAAGGTGAGGAAGACCAGGGCCCGTGACTGAGGAGACCAGTGCCCAGGGTGAGATGAGGAAGGCAGGGCTGGGGGCAGCGATGGGGAGGTACTTCCTGCTTCTAGTCACTCCTACAAGGCTCAGGCCACCTGCACCCACATCCTTTCCCTTCTCAAGTCCCTGTCCTTGCTGGCCGATCGTTGAGAGACTGGCTCCCAGCCTTCTGCTCCAACCATAACCTGACTAATTTGAGGAGATGTCAGAGTCCATGTGACTGACCCAGGCAACCACCAGCTTCAGAATTCCAGGAGCTCCTCTTAATGCCAGTGGCCTCCACTCCTGTGTGCTCTGCCGGCCGTCATAGGGCTTCAGTCCGACTGGCCCCACTCCCGTGCAATTGCTCCTCCCTTCAGAAACCTTACACTCCAACATTCCACCTGTTCACGGACGTGCCTTCTGATCACGGCTTCGTGAGCCCCTGTGGGCCCTTGACATCGCCACACTCTCCTGGCCACTCGGCAGCTCCCTCCTGCCTCACGCCCTTCCTTATCTCACTACTGGGTGGTAACCAGGGGCTCCCAGAGCCGGCTGAGCATCAGAGTCAGCAGGGAGCTCTCGGAGCTCAGATCATGGCCCCATCTAGGCCTCTTGGATGCTCAGACTGACCACTCAATCCATCCTGAAACACTCCTCCATTCTGTTTTCCAGAGCACTACATTCTCCTGGTTCTGCTCAAGCCTCTCTGTTCACTTTCTGTCCTTCTCCGAGGCCCCTCTCCTTGCTCCCCCTCCTGACATCTGGTCCGCCTCTCTGTCCTCAGCCCCTCACCCTCTCCCCCTCCGCCCTTCGCTTGGTCAGGCAACCTTACGTGTGTGCTGACAACTTCCAAATCCGCTGCGCTCTTCTCTTGTACAAGATAAGGCGCACAAAATTCAGAAGCTGGACAGGTAGATGATTACCACTAAAGATGGGCACACCTTAGATGCTAGGAAGGCTCTGGGCATGTGCCCTCTAGTTTTATTTGAATCTCTTTCTGTTCACCAACAGCTCTGGGACAGGTGGCTAGGACCACAGTGCACTTCAGGGCCCCTGCAGGCAAACTGGCCAACACAGAACTTCTCATAAACACAGTATTGTAACAGACCAGACCAAACCATTATGTGTCATTGCAAAGGCTCAATGCATCAATGGCCCATCTCTCCTTTGCACATCTCCCTCGCTCCCTCATGTGGTACTTACTCCCAAGTACTCCGTGGTCAGAAGCTTCTCGCCTGAGAGCTCTCCAAGCTGGGGCTGGATCAGCTCATCTTTGTCCAGATCAGCTTCCATAGTGTCATGGTCCTCCTGTTTCAAAGGACACATGGGGTGAGTGCTCTGGACCCCCGGCCATGCACTCCCAGAGAGCTGGCTCCCCAAGTGGGCACCCTCCCTGGAATGAGAAGGCCTTTGCCCAAAGCTGGCAACTGGTGGGTTTGCATTTCAAAGGGCTTTGGGGGCAGTCTGTCCTCTGCTTATAACCTCTCCATGAAGATGAAAGGGAAAATGCCAGCCCCCCTCTTTCGGAAGCTGGGCACCTAGGGAGCACTTCCATGACCACAGGTGTGGGAAGGTTCAATAAGACACCCAGCAGTCTCTCCTAGCCACAGTTCTCAGAATTTCCCTCTGTGAGGTCCAGGTACCACACAAACAGCCAAGTCAGTCCATCAGTAACTATCACATGCCTTCATATGCACAGGGCTTACGGGGCACATAAAACTTGTTCTTCTCTAATAGTTTACAGTCACCAAAAAGAGAAGAGCTGTTTTGCTTTTGGGAAGATGGACTGGATATACTTTTCCTTATTCCTTCCACTAAATACAACCCCAAACACTGGACGTTATATATATAACATAAACAAAAGAGACCCTGAAAGATGGAGAGAAGGAGCAGACTGGTTAGGTCCCTGCAGACGCAAGGAATGAAAGGTGCTGAGTCCCCTGGGTTTCCGTTGTTCCTTATAGATTCCACACTTGGAGCTGAAGAAGCCAGCAAGCCAGCAAGGTGAATGGTGAAGACGAAAACCCCCCCCAAAGCCTGCTCTCTCTAGCCAGAGGACCAGGAAAGGGATAGCCTAGCAGGAGAGAAGTTTTAGAAAATAACCAAACACCACAGAAGATACCATCACAACCACACCAGCAAGGGTCTCAGGGAGCCCAGGCTTCTACCCACACTGGGCTGTCATCACGCACCCCCACATCCCCAGCTGGGGGGATATGAGAGAAGAGCAAGCAGGGAGGGGGGATTTCATCTAATGCGGTGCCCACCCCCAGGTGAGAGTGGAGACCACGTGGAGGGCCTAGCCTTTCACTTGACGGTAACAAGCTATCCCCCGCTCCATGCTCTGATGGTGTCAGAGGAGGCCTGGTGGAGATTCAAGGCCTTCACCACTGCCCCCCGTACCCCTGTGCTGTCAGGCGGGGCAACGTGGGCAACACTAATGAGGCGCTCCTATCTGTTCTGGTTAGGGAGATACTAGTGGGGGCCTAGAAGGGATCCGGAACTCCCATGCTGCCCTGCAGTAGCAAGGGCTCTCCTCCCATCCCCCACCACCAATGGGTGTCAACAGAGGCTGAGTGTAAGTCCTGGACTTCTACTCACACCTGGCAGTAACGAGGAGAAGCCCCTGCTCCCCCTGTCAGAGCAGTGTCGAAGCAGCCAGCTAAGACAGAAGGCTTAAATTAGATCAAAATTCTTTTTTTTTTTTTTTAAGATTTTATTTATTTATTTGCCAGAGAGAGAGCGAGAGAGTGTGAGAGCACAAGCAGAGGGGAGCGGCAGGTAGAGGGAGAAGCAGGCTCCCTGCTGAGCAAGGAGCCCGACATGGGACTCGATCCCAGGACCCTGGGATCATGACCTGAGCTGAAGGAAGATGCTCAACTGACTGAGCCGCCCAAGCGTCCCTAGATCAAACGTCTTATAATATTCAAAATATCTGGGTTTAAATAAAAAAATACTCATCATACCAGGAACCAGGGAGCTCTCAAACTGAACAGAAAGAGACAATCAGTAGATGCCAACATCAAGATAACAGCGTTGCTAGAATTATCTGACACAGATTTTAAAGCAGTCATCACAAAACGGCTTCAATGAGCAATTACAAACATTCTTGAAACAAATGAAAAAAACAGAAAGTCTCCAGAACTTTCTGGAGAAAGAAAATAACAAAATAAACCCAAAGCAAGCAAGAGGAAGGAAATAATAAAGAGCAGAGCAGATATCAATGAAAAGGAAAGCAGAAAAACAGTAGAGAAAATTAGTCAAACAAAAAGCTGATTCTTTGAAAAGATTAATAAAAATGTCAAGTCTCAAGCAAGATCAACAAAGAAGGTAAAAGACACAAATTACCAATGTCAGGAATGAAACAGAAGATATTACTATAGATCCTGCAGATATCAAAAGGATAAGGGATTAGTATGAATAACTCTACACACATAGGTTTGACAACTTAGATAAAAACACAAATTATCACAAGCCTCTCAATATGAAATTGTGATATAGGACTATTCAAGTAATCTTAAAATTATGATTATGAAGGAAACTGCTTCATAAAATTTCATAAAAATTCCCTGGAAAGAAATCTCCAGGCCCACATGGTCTCCCTAGAGATTTCTATCAAGCTTTTAAAAAAGTAACACCAAGTCTATATGTCTTCAAGAAAACAAAACAGGAAGGAATACTTCTTAATTCATTTTATGAAGTTTTTATGTTACCAGAACCAAACAAAGACAGTATCATAAAAAGAAAAATACAGACAAATGTCCTTCATGAATAAAGATGCAAAAATCCTTAATAATCAAGTTAAAAGAAAAGGGAAAAAAATCCTTAACAAAACCTTAACAAACAGAATAGAGGAGCAGATCAATATGTTAAAAGAATTATATGCCATGACCAAGTAGGGTTTGTTCTGTCAATGCAAGTTTGGTTCAATATCTAAAATTTAAACATTGTAATCCATAAGATTAACAGGTTTGTGAAGAAGAAAAATCACATGAACATATAAATGGATGAAAAAAAATACAAAATTCAACAATATTCATGACAAAAATAGGAACAGAGGGGTACTTGATAAAGAGCCTATAGCTAATATTATGCTTAATGATGAAAGACTGGATGCTTTCCTCCTAAGACTGGGAACAAGGCAGGGATTCCTGCTTTGACCATTTTTTTTTCCTTTCACCATTCTTTTCAACATAGTGCTAGAAGATCTAGCCAGAGCAATAAAGCAAGAAAAAAAAAAAAAAAAGAAATAAAAAGCATATAGATTAGAGAGGAAGAAATAGAACTGTCTCTATTTGCAGATGCCATGATTGTCTATGTAGAAAATCCCAAGGAATCCACCCCTCGAAAATCCTAGAACTAAGTGGGTTCAGCAAGATCACAGGATACAAGATAAATATACAGAAATCAATTTCTATATACTAGTGATGAACTTAAATTAAGACACTGAAATGAAAAATACAACATCATTTACAATTGTTCACAAAAAATAAAAAATAAAATACTTAGGTGTCAATCTAGCAAAATCTGTATAGGATTTGTATGCTGAGAACTATAAAACACTAATGAAAGAAACTGAAGATCTAAATAAATGAAAAGACACACCTTGTTCATGAATTGGAAGACTCAACAGAGTTAAGATGTCAGTTCTGTTCAAAGGGATATATGAATTTAATGTAATTTCTATCAAAATACCAGCAAGATTCTTCTGTAGATATATATAAAATTATTCTAAAATTTATCTGGAAAGGGCAAAGGGACTAGAATAGCTAAGAAAATTTTGAAAAAGAATAAGGTGGGAAGAATCAGTATACCCAATTTCATGACTTATTATATAGCTACAGGTTTAAAGACTGGGTGGGATTGGCAAGAGGGACACACATATAGATCAACAGAACAGAACAGAGAACCTCAAAGCAGATGTACACGAATATGCCCACCTGATTTTTGACTAAGGTGCAAAAGCAATTCAATGAAGGACTGCCTTTTTGATAAATGATACTAGAGCATCTGGACATGATAGGGAAAAAAAATGGACCTCACTCTCATTCTCATGCTTTATCTAAAAAGTAATTCAAAATGGATCATGGACTTAAATGTAATAGTATCCAATTGTTAGAAAAAATAGGAGAAAATCTTCAGGATCCATGGGTAGGCAAAGAGTTCTTATACTTGACACCAAAAGCACAATCCATAAAAGGAAAAAATATGATAAATTGGATTTTACTGAAATTTTTTTGGATTTGGATTTTTGCTGAAAGACCCTGTGAAGGGGACAAGAAGCTAGTGACTGGGAGAAAATAGAAACCACATATTTGACAGAGGACTAGTATCTAAATAATAGAACACATAAAACATTCTCAAAACTCAACATAAAAAGCCCAAACAATCCAATTAGAAAATGGGCAAAAGACATGAAGAGACTAAAGAGGATCTATGGGTGGCAAATAAGCACATATGAATGTTCAACATCATTAGGCATCTGGAGAATGTACATTCAAACCACACTGAGGTGTCACTCTGCATCTGTCGGAATGGCCAACATCAGAAACTGCTGATGAAGATGCAGAGAAACTGGATCACTCTTACGTTGCTGGTGGGAACACAAAACTAGTTATAGCCACTCTGGAAAACAGTTTGGTAGTTTCTTCAAAAGCTAAGCCTACAACTATATACGACCCAGCAATTGCACTCTTGGGCATTTATCCCAGAAAAAGGGAAACTTATCGTCATATAAACATCTGTACATGAATGCTTACAGCAGCTTTCCTTGTAATGACTCAAAACAGGGAATGAGAGATTAAATGAGCCGTGGTACCTCCATAGAGGAGGTTCTGATACAGAACTGGGGCATCTCCAGTGACTTATGTTGTGGGAAACAAGCCATTCCTCATGGTTATAACCTGTATGATTCCATTTACATGACATTCTTGAAATGACAAAACTGGAAATGGAGAACAGATCAGTGGTTGCCAGGGGTTACAGAGGAAATGGGGGTGGGAGGGAAGTGGGTGTGGCTATAAAAGGGACCCTGGTGGTCCTGGAAATCCTCTGGATCCTGGATGTCTCAATGTTCACGTTCTGGCTGTGATATTATACTATGGTTTTGCAGGATGTTACCCCTGGATGGAACTGGGTAACAGGAGGACCTACAGTCCTCTTTCCCACTCTCTGCCACACTTCAGAGATGACGTTGTCCTTTGAGGTTAAATTATAAAGATCAATACGAAACAGACCAGCCCTTCACCTGACAGGAACTAAGGAAAGAATGTGTCTATGAGGGGAGCCGGCCGGCTATGGAAGTGAGA